GCAGGAGATGAAAAAATAATTGTGGACGCCCATGGAAACTTTAACGTGTGTATCCCATTACGATTCTTATCAGGATTTTTTGATGATTTTAGAAAAATTATTATGAATGTAAAGCAGGAGCTTATTTTAATACGATCGAATGATGATGTGGACTCTGTTGTGAGTATAGACGACAGCGAACGACCTAAAGTTGAAATTACAAAATTACAATGGAATGTCGCCCATGTTAGTCCAAGCATGCGTGAACAACTACGATTGAATGGCATAGCTCATAAAAATATTGAGCTACCAATTAAATTCCGTTCGTGGCAAATGATTGAATATCCATCATTAAATAATACAACACGACATACGTGGGCGGTAAAAACTAGTACTAACATTGAGACACCGAGACATATCATTATCGCATTCCAAAAAGGAAGAAAATCCAAAATTACTAAAGATATGAGCAAATTTGACCATAACGACCTCAAAAATATAAAGGTATTTTTAAATTCTGAAAGATATCCTTATAATGACTTACACATTGATTTTGACACCAACAGGTTCGCTCAAATTTATGAAATGTTTGGAAGTTTTCAGACAAGTTATTATAATTTAAGTTTAAACCAACCGATATTTAGTCCTCAAGATTTTAAAACTAAAACACCACTCATACATATAGATTGCTCTAGGCAGAAAGAAGTGATCCAAAATGGATCCATTGTTCTACGTATCGAATTTGAAACAAATACACCTTCAACGCCTGATGTATCAGCATATTGTTTAATTTTACATGAGAAGGAATTTACATATAATCCATTAACAAAAATAGTAAAGCAGTATTAATACGCATGCGTTATAACTGTATAATAATTAATAGTAATAATTAAAAACGTTAGTTGATGATGGAACGTTTACATGAAAACACAATAGACAACTTTATAGGTAATTTAAAAAAACTTAAAAAACAAATTCAGCAGTACGAGGCTTTTAAACAGGTTATACAAAAATTTAAACAATTGCAAATATGAAACTTGTTATTGACATCCAAGGTTTTAAAATTGAGAATAATAGGTTTATTTGTAAAGAATTGGCGTGTTATTCAGGAGATAAATGTGTAGTATATATATTTAAACCACCTTTCCCATTACGAATGTTACCTCCTGATTTAATTCAGCAGGTTATATGGTTAAGTAAATATCACCACTGCATCTCTTGGGATAAAGGTTATACCCCATTATACGAATTTAAAAAAATCATCAAAGAACTAACAGACGAAGCTGAAATTGTTTATGTAAAAGGGATGGAAAAAGCGAATTACATACGAAAATATTCTTCCACACCTGTAATTGAAGTAGGTGAATCCCCACCACTACCAGTATCAGAAGCAAAATGTTTTTACCATTCTAAACAAAAATGTATATGCGCCCTTTCAAATGTATTTTTTATTTATGAAAATTTTGTAATGGAGTAAATTTTAATAAAAAACATTATATTTTACAGATTTTTTATTTTATCAAACCTAAATTACAATAATAAATTCTACTTGATCTTATTACAACTATAAAATTTTCCCGAAACAAATTTTACATTCATAAGAATGTTGATACCATTCCCGTTTTAAAATTCTCACAATCCTTGGTGGAAGCAGATCTTCTACGGACTTCAGACGATTTATATGTTGGTATTGAACAAGTCTTGGGAAAAGGTTATCAAAAGTTGATACCTTTTTTAAGAATTGGTCGACCCACCACCAAACATCAGAACCTATGAAAATCCTTTCCAAAGCTGTGTCTAACAGATAACGTTTTGTCGGGTATTCGTTGACATATATACGCAATTTCAAGGGCAGACACACATCATCAAACATGTTGTTTTGCCCGAGTTCACAGAATACCTCCACCCAACAGTTGTCACAAATTTTATTTAGTTTTTTTTGGTTGGTATAATATTCAATAGATGGTAAGTTAAGTATCGATTTTTCACTAAGTAATTTAACCACTTTTCCTATAACAAGTTCAATACTTTCTTGATGCATGGTTATGGTTATATTTACCACGTTAACTGATTTTGGAATTACATCAACAGAGTTATATACCGTCGATCCCCCACTCCACCATATTAAAACAGGTTTTAGATTCTTTAGAATTCTATAGTATTTAATCTTGTCCCCGGTCTTGACTCTGAACTTGATCCTAACCTTGACCTTTACATTATTCCGGTTTGTACAAAGCCCTGGTGACAGAAACCAGTTAGACTAGTTATTCCCGTTCACAGTTATTCCGGTTAAACAGATTATCCCGTAAATATGGTGGGAAACAAGTTAGACCTGTTATTCCGGTTTTAGGCACACTCTATTTCACCTGAACAACTACACCATTATTTTATTAAAATCATTAGTGAACTTTATAGTTAAATTTTTAAATAGGTAGTACATATTGTTTATCATAATAATAATAAAACACTTATTAAAAATAATATTTTATGAAATAATTATTACACTAAATATTATATTTGTGAATCAAAGTTTCAAGTGCAAGCTTGCATACACGACAACTGGACTGCGCAGGTGCGTACCCGTCTAACTCTGTTCTCCACTCAGGACGATTAAAGTGTACAAAACATGGGAGACGTGTCTGAACTTCAAAATCTTGAACTGCTTCCCTGGGTAATTTAGACCAAGAACAAAGTAGTTCAATTGGATCACATTTTCTAAGATACTGCAGGGTAAAGTTTTCTAATTCTGCTTCTGTAAACTTATACAAAGGTTTTCGCGGATGTTGGGCCATTAATTTAGCTTTGTGACAACACTCCATCTTAAAAGTGTTAGTTTTTTTGTAGTCACTTTTTAACTGGTTAATATAATTTGTTTTTTTTGTAAATTATTATGTTTTAACTTTTTAATACCTCGATGCGTTCACGAATGTGTTTCGATTTGATACTGTTTATATCAACAAGTGCGACATGCTTTATAGCAAACATCGAACATAAATTATTTCATAAAAGACTTAAAGGGGGGTATAGGTCTAAAATGTTTTAAACTATTATCATATAAATAACACTAATTGAGTTATAAATCAGAAAATAAAAAGAAACAAACAATAAAAGATCTTGACCACATTTGTTACATACGTTCATAGGTTAAAAAGAACAAAACCAATAAAACCTTGACTGCTTGTTTAACTTTTTGTTTCCTAACTGTCCGTGACCGGATATTCACCTTTCTTTGTTGTCTACGTACCCACCTTCTGCACTCATTAGTCTGGTGGTGGGGAGTGGTACCTGCGACAAAAATCGAAAATAGTTGCACACAGTTGCACAGTATAGCGATCATGACTTTTTCCGGAGGGCTTTTCTTTAGAGGATGTTGAAACGGAGGATGAAATAGATGATGATGATATGGTTGGAGAGAAGGAAGAAATCTATTGGGGACCTATGCTTGTACCACTCAAACACGACTCTACGTCTTCTTCGAAAGGTAAAATGACGGAGTGAAATTTATGACGAAGAATATACCTCAAATGATGATGGTTTTAGAGAAGGATGTGTATGAAGAGAAATAAATATATTGGGGAGTTATGCTTGTACCACCCGAACTTATCAATGTAATAATAAAATGTTAAGTAATTGTTAAAATTTAATGTGTACATCTGCTTTGTGGATAGACCAGTTAGGTTAAATTTTTCTTTCTTATCCCTACTTTATTGATAAGCTCACACCTGTTTTACTTCGGGTTTTAATTTCAACTGATGTTTCTAATTACCTGTTTCTACACCCTTTTCCTTATTAACAATATCTCTCTTGCTATTCTTATTGCTTTGTTTTCTGCCATTTCTATATATTAATTTTTTCACAGGTTTATTTTTTCTATCCCACATATCACTCTTATTTCCTCACTCTAGTTCTTAACGTTCGGTTTTGCTATTTTTCGTAGGACTTTCATCCCCCACTGTTTCCAATATTTTTTGTGTTTTTACCTTATCTACCTATGTTTCCGCTGAATATGTCATTAACGATCCCATTGTTGATTTGTCTGTCCTAATTTTCATTTCCATTGTAAGGTATTTGTTTCACCATATTTCACTGTTTAAACATTCTCCCGTAGCTCGACAGTTTAATCTTTAAGTATTTTTTGAGCTTTCCATGACTTGTTCTATTATCAAACAAGCTATATATAAAAAAACAAGTTATATTTTACCATGTACATTTATTTTCATGTTTAATACAAAAATTTAATTGATAAATTATGAATTGTGTACTTCTTATTCTGTAAGCAGTATAATTTTGAGATCAATATTAAATTAGAATTTTACTGCTTTCCATTTAAAACTGTGTTCAAATAAATTTAAAAAAGAATTAAACTTTTACTGCTTTATATGAAAAACCAACTGATTTTAGATTTTACTTGATCTTATATAACAATGAAGGACCTCTCTTTAAATTTGAAGTAAGGAAAACACATGTTAGTGTTCAGTACGTTTATTGAAAAATAATAAAAAACTATACGCAATACTATAAACAATAATAAATATATACAAAATCATAAACAACTATATTTACACACTTAACATACTTAACACTAAACAATTTTATAACTAATATGTACAGGGTTGCTGACGGGATGGAATCTGTAACAAAGAAATACCAACATGTAGAAGATATTCGCCTATGGTGGTTGGAAAGAGTTTTAAAAAATAGTATTCACACTTACAGTTTGTACGTGTTGACGTTTACTACACCGTCTACGCATGAGGTTGGAGGTGGTTTATGAGCTACTTTGACTGCTGAAGAAGTCTGCAAACAAATAAAACATAGTATCAATAACTAATATAAACTCTGATATCGGTTGTATAGTGTAGTCTGTGCTATCTTGTGGTAGAGTGCTTAAATGTTGTAGTTTAAAAAGTTTTAGTAATAGTGTGTTTATGATAAGATAATACGTAGTATATTTCGTTTTAAAAAGTTTGTTTTTAAGTCAGTGTATAAAGCTTTATAACATTATATATACTATTGTTTACCTTGAGCAGTTGTTTTTGCAGCGTTTTCCAACAAATTTTTATGATGTTTAATGTTGTTTATTTGATGGATTTTCCTCTCGTGAACTATTTGAGCAGCCTTTTCAATATATCCTAAAACGTTACTCGTGACACGTTTCAGCAGCTCCTCTTGTTTAAGAATATTTTGTAGACCGCCCTCCAACCTCTCAATATGTCGTGATAAGGCTTTAACTACTCCACGCTGGTAATCTTCTTCCAATTGTGGATCATTCTGTCGCTCCTCTTCCACATCTATGATGTCCGTTAATACTGAATTTAATGAAGGCTCCCCTTCTGAAAGAAATATCCTTTCTAAATCTTCCTCAGCCTTAACTGTTTTTTCATCCTCTTGGACATTAAACGATGTGGAAGCATCTGCTGGTGCGTGCACCATCGCCGCTTCAACAGTTGTGTGCACCATCGCCGCTTCAACAGTTTGCGGTGGTACTTTATTTTTCTGAATTTTTAAAATAAGGCGTTGTGCCTCACTTTGTCGACGCTCGATGGGTTTAATTTTCTCTTCACCCACAAATATCACACTTTCTTCGGATGGTGCACGCATCATCCTCCCTGATGAAAGTACCGGTGGAGGTACCGATCGCTCCAAACGCTCACTAACCCCACTAACCGGTGGAGAAACACCCCGTCTTTTAGGTATTGGTTCCTCCACTGACTGTCCGCACAAAAGCGCCCGTTTTCTAGATAATAAATTAGATTCACGACGAATTCCCGACGATTCGTTTGTTACTTTCATCTTCATTGTAGAAAAGCACGACTTGAACAATTGAGTGAACATTTTAAACTGATTTTATATACAACGAATCTAAGTCGCAGAAAGGTAGGAAAGAACGAGTTCTTAGAGGGAGGAACCCGTCCGAACAAAGAAAGTTGAATATACGGTCACATACACAGACAACAAAGAAAGGTGAATGCCCGGTCACACACAGGTAGCCAACAAAGAAAGGTGAACAACCATTCAATTTTTTTTCTTTTTCTTTAACCAATGTTTTATTGGTCTTGTACTTGTTGGTTTTTTACTTTTTATTGGTTTTTTACTTTTTATTGGTTTTGTTTTTTTTTATTGGTTTTGTTTTTTATTGGTTTTGTACTTTTTATTGGCTTTATAATTTTTATTGGTTTTGTTCTATTTTCGTTTTTTTGTATTTTTTGGCTGAAGGAAGCTTTTTTTGTTATTTTTAGTGGAATTTTCATCACCCTTAATAACGCGCAACTACAGAAGCTAAAAATTTTCCAAAAAAAAAAAAAAAATTTTAACAAAAAACAGAATTTTTGTTTAATTAAATGTTGGCATGTGACCCCTCTAATGAAAGGTTTTTACAACGGTAATACAGCAGAACAAATAATTTGAAAAAAAAAATAACGCTTAAAGCGTTTAAAGCGGTAAAAAGTGTATTTTTTGTCGTATCCTAACTTTCGACCACTCTAATAAAAGGTCTTGACGTCAGGAATACGAATCTGTTATTATTTTTTAGAAAAAATCACGCGTAAGGCGGTTAAAGCGGTAAAAAGCGTAATTTTCGTCGTATCCTAAGTTTCGACCACTCTAATGAAAGATCTTGACGTCTAGAATACAAATCTATCATTATTTTTAAGAAAAAATGACGCATAAAGCGGTAAAGCGGTAAAAAGTGTATTTTTTGTCGTATCTTACCTTGCGACCACTCTAATGAAAGGTATTAATGCCAGGAATACGAATATGTTATTATTCTTTAAAAAAAATTATGCATATAGTAGTAAAGCGGTAAAAAGCGGTAAAAAAACTATTTTTTGTTAAATTTTACTTTTAACCCTGCTTAAAAATGTGGTAATTATCTATATTTGAAATATATTGTTAATTTTTGTAATTTTTTACTCTAATAATACCATAAAACCGGTATTTCCAGTTTAAAACCGGTATTTTTAGTTTAAAACCGGTATTTCCAGTTTAAAACCGGTAATCAAAACAAGTTTATATTTATACCCCACACTTCTTTCGTTATTGTTCATTCTTGTGTCGTACAGTCACCTAGCTTCAGTCAACAACCATGCAGTGTAACTCTTGTTTAAAAGTTTTATCCAACAAAAGCAGTGTAAGTAGGCATAAACGGGAAAGTTGTCCGGAACGATTCAATAAAGGGAAAAAGGTGAAACTTAATGATGACCCAGATGTTGTTACATCAGCTAATAATTACAATTCAACCATTGTAGAAGCAACTCCCTTTAGATCTATTGTCCATCCAGTTACCACTACATCCAATGTTATCGAATGTCAAGATTGTTATAAAAAAATTTCTGGGAGAGGGCTAACAGGACATTTACGTAGTAATTCGCACAAAAGTGTTATTAGTAATGATAGTGGGGTTGAGAAACTATCAAGTGCGTTTAAAAATCGTATCGGTAGTTACCGCCTTTCTAGCAACAAACATCATACTGATTACTTAGAATTTTTTAGTGAAATTGAAGGTAACGTTTTGAAGCTCCTACATAACTATTTACATAAATTTAAAGTGTTAAAAGTTAATTTCGAACTTTACTCTATGTACACAATATCTGAAAAAGATACTTATGATTTAAAATCATTTAATACAAAAAATCAGATTATTACTATTTCTACTAATTTGAAACAAGCATATCAAGATTTTATTAGGGAGATATTACCCAAGGTTTCGGAAATACAAGAAAAGGAATCTGGATGGAGTCTTTTACAAATCCAATCATTAGAAGTTAACATTAATAAGTACAACCCTCTACGATCTTCTTCATATATCAGGTTACCACGACAAATCGAGATGAAGAAAGCAATTATTAATATAATGAATAAAGATGAAGCATGTTTTGGTTGGGCGGTAAACGCATCAATTTTTGACCCAACAGGTAAATCCAATCTTACTACTTCTTATCCGCATTATACTAGTCTCTTAAAGTTCCATAATATAGAATTCCCTATGAAACTCTCAGATATACCAAAATTTGAATTACTTAATAATATTTCGATTAACGTTTTTGGGATTAGTGAATGTTTTAAAAATAATATCACACAATTGGAAATCGTTGGGCCGTTATACCATACAAAATCTAAAAAAGCTACACATGTTAACCTATTACTTATTTTTGATGAGTACGGGAATAGTCATTATTGGTACATTAAAAATTTATCGCGGTTAATATCAAAACAAAAATCACACCATAATGGTCAGACTTTTCTATGCAATGGTTGCTTACAATTTTTCTCATCCTTAGAACGTCTTCGCAAACATGAAGACAACGATTGCAACTTTGTATATACCAAGCTTCCAACTACCAACATGATTCTCAATAAATATGGACATTTACAAAAAGAAAATATCTTACAATTTTCCAACTTTCAGAAACAAATGCAAGTTCCGTTTGTTATATATGCTGATTTTGAAAGTATACTGCAACCGATACAATATGCAACACCTTCTGATAATTCCTCGTTTACTGTCAAAACCTATCAGCATACACCATATTCATTCGGTTTTTATGTTAAATGTTATTTTGATGACAGTTTATCAGAACTTATCATTTATCGCGGTGACAACGTGGTTGAGAAGTTTATTCAAAAACTAAAAGAAAAAGTTTACACTATTTATCATAAATATCTTAAATATAATAAACCTATGAAAAAACTCACGCCAGAAGAGGAATTACAATTTTTTACTAGTAAATGTTGCCACATTTGTGATAAACCGTTCGATATTAACGAAATTAAAGTCAGAGATCATTCACATCTAACTGGGTTGTTTTCTGGCGCAGCGCATAACGCTTGTAATTTAAATTACAAATTACCTAAGTTCATACCTGTTTTCATGCATAATTTAACCAATTACGATTCACATCTGTTTATAACAAAATTAGCTCAAAATAACGAAAAAATTGATGTTATTGCACAGACTAAAGAAAAATATATATCATTCACCAAACTACTTTTAGTTGATCGTGGTGATTTAGAGCAAAATATATATTTAAAATTAAGGTTTGTGGATTCTTTCAGATTTCTACCTCATTCACTGGATAATTTAAGTAAAACCCTAAATAATAATCAATGTCTAGAGTTACAAAAATATTGTCGATCAAATGAAGAGTTCGGATTGTTACGACAAAAAGGTGTTTTCCCTTATTCATACCTGGATAACTTTTCAAAACTTGGTGAGGTATCTTTACCCACACAAGAAGAATTTTTTGATATTTTAAAAGGTGAAGGCATTTCCGATGAAAAGTACTTACGAGCTAAGCGAGTTTGGGAAGTTTTTAATTGTAACACCTTAGGAGAGTACTCAGATGTTTATTTAAAATCAGATATTTTATTATTAGCTGATGTGTTCGAAAACTTTCGACATAATTGTTTATTTAACTATAAACTAGATCCTGCTCAATATTTAACAGCTCCATCACTTAGCTGGGATGCTATGTTGCGTAAAACTAATGTTCAGCTTGAATTATTGACGGATATAGACATGCTCCATTTTTTTAAAAAGGGTATACGTGGAGGTATAAGTCAGTGTAGCACTAGATTTGCTGCTGCAAATAATCAGTATTGTGAGAATTATGACTGTTCTAAACCTACTTCATATATTCTTTATTTAGATGCTACAAACCTTTATGGTTACGCTATGAGTCAATTCCTTCCGCATGGTGATTTTCGATGGTTAGATGATGTAGAAATCACTCATTTTAATTGTTTATCAGTCGATGATGAATCTCCAAAGGGGTATGTCTTAGAAGTTGATTTAGCTTATCCTGAAACATTACATGATTTCCATAACGACTTACCGTTTTGTCCTGAAAATCTGATTCCTCCTAATAGTAAAGATCCCAAGCTTGTATTAACGTTATTACCGAAAAATAAATATATTATCCATTATAGAAATTTGAAACAGTGTACTGAACAAGGTTTAAAGATAACTAAAATTCATCGAATTCTAGAATTTTCTCAATCACCGTGGTTAAAACCTTATATTGAATTAAACACAAATTTACGTAATTCTTCAAATAATGAATTTGATAAAAGTACATATAAAAATTACACAAACTCCATTTACGGGAAAACTATGGAAAACGTTGATAAAAGGGTTGATATTAAACTTTTATCCCACTGGGAAAACTTGCCTGGAAGCGTCGGTGCTGAAGGGTTTATTAGTATGCCGAATTTTCACTCTGTTTCAATATTTTCAGATAATTTAGTTGCAATTCAAATGAATATCCTAAAAATAATTTACGACAAACCGGTGTATGTCGGTTTTTCAATTTTAGAAATATCCAAAATTCGTATGTATGATTTTTTTTACAATTACATTAAAGCTAAATATGTAGATAATGCCTCACTTTGTATACCGACACTGATTCATTAATTTTACACATTCAAACAGAAAACGTTTACCGCGATATCAAAGAAAACCTTCATTTATTTGATACATCCAATTACCCCGCCGATAATATCTTTAATATACCAAAAACACCATCAGTGGTTGGTAAATTGAAGGATGAGTTTAAAGGTAAACCAATTAAAAATTTTTGTGGTACTGGTGCCAAAGCTTATTGTGTGACATTAAGTAACAATGATAACCTTAAAAAAGCTAAGGGAATTTCCAAAAACGTTATAAATAAATCTTTAACATTTACGGATTATAAACAAGTAGTTGATAATACTAATGCGAAAATTTATCGTAAAATGTATACATTTAAGTCACATTTACATGAAATGTATACTGAATTAAAAAATAAGGTTGCTTTAACTTCCCACGATGATAAGAGATATGTTATACCCGGAACTAT